GAAGTTGCAAATGAGCGACTTTACATTACTACTTGATAGCAAACGTTATATACCAAGTAGTATACTAAACCATTACTTTATTGCTCTTTATTTTCTCCATTTTGTTATTTGTATTTCATGTGGAAAAATCTACCCCAACAAGTATTGTATTGATGTAAAGTAAGTTTTGAAAAGCATATCAAGAACCAGTTATCAAATCAAAGAAAAAATTTGAAATACGATTGAATAGAATTTAAAAGCATAATCTAAATTCAAAATGAAAGCAAAGTAAATGTTGCCAAGCTGAACTGTTTCTCTGATAGATTATTTTCAGATACTTTTAAAAGCACTAGAACTTCTTTGATGCAAAGTAAAATTCTTGAAAACCTAGTTAACAAACTGTTACATGCTGCATTAATATTCAGCTACTCTCTTAAAACTGACAAGAAAATGCTAAATTAGTGAATTACCAGTGGTCCTTCAGCTCGCGGAATCTTCAGCCTTTCAAAGTGACACCGACATCGACGACAATATTCCAACCGGGATGACAATGACAATACATAAGCAGCTTGAAATTAATTACGACGATAAAGAGGAAGAGTAGATGAGGAAACGGAGATGGTCTAAGTTGTCAAGAGCTTCAGCATCAATGTAGAAGCCGTAGTCTAACTTAGCTAACGAGTGTGCCGCTGCTGAGAGGATATAGGTGTTGAAGTAAATATGATCCGGAAATGCAAAGTAACTTGAGCAGGCCAGTAATAAGGATCGGAGAGAGCTAACACTCTTGATGATGTCTGTCTTCCCCAGCATATAAGTCAAGTGCTCTTATTAATGCTGCCTATTGTGATTATTCCATTATTTGTACACAGAAATAGATGCTAAATGATACTAAGTCATTATCAGCTTGCTGTGAACAACGGTCGAAATGCAAATTAGTCTTAAATTTTGGTCGTTAACGGCAGACGTTTCGACGCGTTCTTATGCTCTTGGATGCATCGCCTTGTGTTTTCTGTTCCACCCTCGCGTCATCCTAGTCTATGCGCTCTTGCGCTACTATAGAACCGTCGGAACAAGCTGTCCTATCTATAGATACCACCAGCGAGTATTTAATGAATATGCAAATCTTTGCCTCGACTCGCCACACAGTTTCGAGCGAGAGCAAGACCAAGTGCGAGCTAGAGTGTGGGATATGCCAGTGGCTTGGGGGAGGGAGTGGTGCGAGAAACTCTCCAACTGCTGGAATATATTTCGGTCTTTGTCGTGAGTTGGCTATGAACACTGTAGGAATTGGAACTCTCGCATGGGCTAATAGGTTAAGAGGGCCAGAGAAAATCCGTGGAAGATAGTCTACGGAAATGAACGAACAAGTAAAGGTGAAAAACAGAGAGAAGAGCTTATTCTACACCTACAGCTTAGAGGTTCTGTAGTCTCTTTCACTGAAATCGATATATATGGTCATCTAGTTCCCTCTAACTCCCAATTGTCCCGTCTCATTCCGTTTCGAGGACTGCTTTTGGTCTGAAAACGAGACAGAGAGCAGTTGGAGTGGTAAATTAATTGAAAATCGTAGATGTATACCTGGTAAAAACGTCGATCGTCTGGAAATCACCTCTTAGGGAATCTTGATAGTATTCCCAAGCTTCTCACTTCTTCTTTTTACCCTGAATCTCAACGATCTCTCAAGGGTGTTGAGATTTCCTTATTGCGAGTAAAAAACATTTCACTCAAATTTTTTTATCACTACAAATTGCGATTTCTTGTTCCTTTCATATATCTGGCATCAACCTCTTTCTTTATTCGCTCTTTTAAAAGCTCAAATCAATTTATATCATGACATCTATCGAACTTCCACTTCCTTTATTAAAATTAATGTTTAAGAGTTTGTGTTAGAGTGCTACACTCGTTACCTGCGGCACGTAGTCCATACAATTCAGATTGGATTGCTCCTGCCGGTGAGATCTAAATGCCGAGAACATATCCCCACCGGTAATTGAAAATCGTGGCTGTGGCAAGCGATGTTAAAGGTAGAGTACTGAGAGGCAGCAACCCCTCAGCATGAACCGAATTCAGTTGGTTCCCGAACGGAAAGCCTCACTCTCTATGTGAGTCTATACTCTCTATATACTGTACGTTGATCGCGACCTCTTGAATTCTATCCTCTATCCCGTTCTCTCTCTCTCACTCTCTCGTGCTTTCGATTGATCCGGTATTTCATAGCAGTGTGAATTCAAATACTGAACATGGCCCAAATGCTCCTGTTGGTTCCGTCGGGAATCATCAACGGAGAGTTGACTTGAATCCTATGAATACTATTATTCCCTAGTATACTCAATGATTACATTTGCTTTGATCACCTCTCAAGGCTTCCATGCACCGTAAGAAAATTATACCTCCATGGAGACATTTCGATGCTTGATGGAGAAGTGTGAGATAAAAATGATGCAGAATTGTTTGTACTGTTTTTAATCTGGTGAGTTTGAAATAACATGTTAAGAAGATTAGTGTATGAAAGTAAAAAAATTTTTTAATAAAACAGAGCTTTTTAAAAAAATTCTTAAATTTCAAAGTTAAGAATAAAACATTTTTTAATTTTAATATTCAAGAATTATTTTTAATAAAAAAACCCTTTCTTTATCATTATAAATTAAAATCAGTTTTTTGTAGTATTTGAATTAAATACCTAAGCTTCAAAAACCTTTTTTTCTTTATATATATATATATATTTAATAAAATTAATTTTTAAAAAATAATGATTTCATTTATTGTCAGAATTTAAATAATTTTTCATTCTGAAAGAAACAAATAATTTCATGTAAACAGAATTTATTCAAGCCGAAAAATATTTCCTCTACATTACTCCAAGAGGATGTAAACTCTCTCATTTTTTTTTACTCGTTCGTTTGTGTAATTATAGTGGAATTTTTTTAAAATCACATCACCACGTTAAATAAAAGAGTAAAAAATTAAGTTGTTCTAGTTGTCCGATTTCTGGTTTCCGACGTTTGACCCAACAACGATTGTTCTACTTAAGAGACTAAGGAGAAAACCGTGCATTACGGCTTCCGACATTATGTCTTTTCGAGTACCAAGACTAGTAATGGCTACGATTGTCGAGTACTCGCCAGCATTAATATTCCGATTTCGTATTCCGATGCCAGCTTGTCGAGTACAGGACTGACTAAGTAATCGCCGAATGGCGTGTGCTACTATATTTTCTGCGAAATGACTTCGTGTCTAGGTTTCTTGCGTCTCTTTTAATTCGGATGGCTACACGGTATGTACATATGTGGATATAAAACATTAATATCCACTTAAAAAAAAAATGCTCCGGTAAAAAAGAAAAAGAGATAATGGGATCATGAATAAAGTAGTAAATAGAGTATAGGCCTTTCAAGTGTCTATTTAAAGTTGGTTAATAAAGCATATTAGCCCAGAATGCAAGGCAAGCATAATCAACACGCTACATCACCAGGTCTAAGACTGGAAATCGCATAGCAAACAGGGACGGTTTTCTTCCAATGTTACCGGAACCACATTGAGTATTTAGATGCACGATAAAATTTCACACGTTCGTAACAGAACACCCTGGCATTCCGGCAAGTTGAGAACTCTTGGAACATTACACAAACGATGGGAAAGAGGAAGTAAAGGAAAATGGTGGTGTAGAAGCGCGTCATAGGTTACGTCTAGATAGATATATACAATGAACTTACGACGTTTTGAAGCAGACATTCACAAACAGCTTGCATTTACCAAAGCATTTCCTCGTGGTGACGTTGAGATATCTAGAAATTCCACATAGTTGTTTCCTCAATGGAATTTCAATATTATAGGCACTTATTTAGCATTCCACAAATATCACAACAGTAATTTGTCATAAATTCAATAAGCTTCTTTTATAGTTCAGTTGGATGAACGTTATCCAATAACTCTTCCGCGATATCATCAACTATTTATTAGCTATACATACTAATGTGAGAGAAGGAGTGAGGGTGGAATGACATAGGATCACACTAGAAAGGCATCGTGCTCATGATGGTGGAACGTTGATTACTCGTCACTACCGGTATTCCGGTAAATTCGATGCCAGCAAATGTTCACAAACTGTGGAACGTTGTTTCTGGGACGATAGGAGTAGAGAGTGAATTCGTACAACGTGAATACGAGAGAACACACGTTGTATGTACCTATAACTATATGGACGAATGCGTGTTGTTCGTGGACCGGTCCACCATGTAGACATGACCAGACATTGCGCGACAGATAGTGTAATCCAAATTCACGGATGTGAGAATCAACGGACCTTTGATATTTCCATATTATATACGTTTATAATTTAACTTCCAAGTTGTCATTCGATGTTCATAATTATACCATAATTCATCATCCCCATTACTTTCTGGCTGTTAGAAGATTATGATTGTAATTCATTAAATGGTGCATTAGTTTGTAAATACATTTCATCAATAACATCAAACCCTTTGATTTACATTGATTCGACCAAATATTTATTTGAAATAATCTCAAATTATTTAATCATTATCAATAAATTTATGTTGAAAGATTTTTAATTAATTAGAGTTAAATAAATACGCTTCTTTATGTTTATTCACGAAAAATATCAACTAAAGTTGTTTTAGAATCCATTGAATATATTAAAAATTTTTTTTGTCCACATTTTAGTACACTTTACTTTGTAAATGATTAATTTGAAATATATTCTAAAATACTGCTGTCATTCTGAAAAAATTCTCCACCACCAATCATCGAGATTTTCAATTTTCACTTCGACTTTAATATATTATTTACTGAATTCTCAATTGTAAATCTTGGATATTACATTTTCAAAAATAGTTGAACTGATGAATAAATGAATTAGTCACAAGGATGTTATCACTCAAGTTGTATATATATTTAGAAGAAATTGAAAAGCTTGTTGAGAAGATAATTTTAACTGTTTGCATTGCCTGTCAAATAATAGCGAATGCCAGTTATTTGATACAATTTATTATTTGTTTCAGTTATGACATGAGAAGTAAGCGGACGGATAAAGCAACACATTGGAAAGATAAAAACTACTTTAATGAAAGAGCTCACTTTGTCATAACTGTCGAGCCTGCAACTCTTAATATCCGACGAGTGGAAGAAAAGGATGAGGGAGAATATCTTTGTAGGGTTGACTTTATTGGAAGTCCAACGAGAAATTCTAAAATTCATCTCTCTGTGATTAGTAAGTTAACACTTTCATTTATTTTTGTTTTATGATATTTTAAAAAGCTTTTATTCGATGGAATTTAATATTTTTTCACCCGGACGAGTTGTTATTTGAATCTTATCGATATCATATTTCCCACTAGTATTTGCGGCATATATTGGTTAATTTTTTGCTTGTATGAAGAAACTAATGAAAGCAAGAAATACATTTAAACTCGTAGTTTTCAACTTTTTCTCTTTCATGTTGTTATAAAACGTTTTTTCAATAAAACTTTTCAAACAAAATTCGGTCATACTTTTATATAACTGATTTTAAATTATTTCTAATAATTATCAAAATTTTTAATCAACGGAAATGAAATTTAAAATATAATACTTTGCACTCTAAGAATTTTTCAAATGGTTTAAAATGTAATAACGATTTTCCATTTTTGACTTGTAAAAAATTATATTGTGCATGTCTATTGATAATAATAATAGTGAATATATATTTTTTATAATCTGTTGCATAATTATAATGCTAGATGTATCGATCAATACAAAAAATACTCTTAAAATATGAAATCTGATAAATAGATTAATCTAAAAAATGATAATGAAAGTAAAATGTTGAATGCATTATATATAGTAGTAATTTATGCTTTTGGCATATGGATAGCTGCATGCGAGTGACACTTTTATATCGAATATTCAAACATCGGACACGAAAATAATTCGATAACTTCAAAGCATGTAGTACAGAAGAACGGGTCGTATGAATTAAGCCAATTATCTGAATATTTCTGTACACTCTGGTTATTTACTCAATCCATCGCTCTAAAGTCTCTTTTTACAGAGTTGATATTTTCATGAAAGCAGATAATGATAATTTATTTATGTGATTAAAACAAATATGACATTTGAAGTTGATTGGTTGTTATAGGTTAGCCATGGTGATCACACTGACTTTTAAAGTGATTGTAATATACACCAACACACCTTCATCTCTGACTCGAGGGAAATTATATGATGTAGTCTCACCCTTCGATTCTTCCTCTTTCTCTCTGTTTTACTCCCTATGATCCGTGAACATTTCCTGCGGTTTCCGATTCAACGAGCTATCGATTATACCTACATCTACAAACACCTATAGCCAACTGCGCTCTCGCTTCGAGTTTATCGAGTAAACGTCTCGCATGATTATTTTGTGCGTTCCACAAATTCTAATCAACGTCATGAACCAACGAAGAATTCCCTGGTTCAGAAATAGTGTTTAATGAAAAAAAAAGCAAGAAATAGCATGAGCTGTATTGAATGTGTCATGAATTATATTCTGATGCAATCTTCGATATACGTTTTCGAGCAAACTTCGAAAAATACGAAGAAAAAAGGGGCAAAATAAAGAAGTGAAATGAACAACGATTGGCAAAGTTATAAATCAAAATCTCTATCATGAAATATGACAGGGTTGACGGTTAGTATTCGTGCACTAACTTTTCCACATACAGGTGTTCGTGGTTACTGAACTCTCTTCTAGTCTCCTCTAAACGTCAAACACATCATACTACTAGGGTGTGTTGAGGAATCGTTCAGTTGTCTGTTTCATTTTTGTAAGCTTTAACGCTAATCTGCCACTTTTGCTCCCAAACACTTTACAGGATTCCTCAACGATCTTTTCTACTTTAACAATAATCTCAGAAATAATAAATTTATTTTTTTCAATAAAAATGTTGTTTCAAAAAATGAATAAGTTTTATTGATATTTCCTTTCATAAAGAAAAAATTTGATTAATTTTAATTATATTCTGAAGCTTATCAACTATGGGAATTTTTTCTTATATTTATATAAATCGATTAATGATGATTGAAATTACCAGAGTGTCAGTGTAGAGTGAGATAATTATTTTGCTGGAGTATTGCCATTATCAATAATGAGAATGTCACCCTCATCATATTAATAGTAATAGCTCTTTACAAACATGATGTTTATTGTTGATTGCAGTTCCACCACATAAACCCAATATCATAGATGAGCACGGAAAGACTGTATCAACGATAGCAGGCGCTTACGAAGAAGGTGGTGACATGCGACTCACCTGTCTTGTCTCCGGGGGTAAATATATATTCGTTTTATCTTTGTGTATTTTTTGTCTGTGATATCATCTTTTAATTAACTTAAATGGAACATCGATTTACCACTGTAGAATTTAACTATAAATTTTTGACAAAATATTTTTTGACAGGCTGATGGAAACATAAATCCTAAAGCAAAATGTTTTGAATGAATTATTTTTTTTCTTCTTATTCGTGTAAAATTCTATTACCAACCATTAATGTACATGACAAAAATGAAATTTTTTCTATTATTGGAAAAAGGGAAATCAAAAGTGTATTTTATTAAATTTTTTTCATTACTCATAATAATATAAAGTAAAGACAAATAAATATTATTAAGAGTAATGATTTTTTTTTATAACTTCATACCTCTCTTTACGTCGTTATTATTTGAAAGAGAATTTTTAATTAAATAAATTCCAACTCGATGAATATCAGATGATTCAGTAGGTAACAAGAGATTTAAAAAGAAATATTATTGTTCTTTTATGTATTTAATATCTGACATGACGAGTACAACTTTGTATTATTAACATTATTTTCACATAAAATGTACCACTTACGTGTTCAATTATTTTAAAAAATTCATTACGACTTTATGAGACACATCTCATTTACTCTCAATTATATTTTAATAGTCAACACTGTAGTTGTTAAACTACATGTAATAATTATAATAAATTTATTTTTATGACCTTATTCCCTAGTGTCCTTCATTTTTTTATCAACGTAGAAAATATGCAGAGTGAGCGCGTTATGAAAAATAATATTCTTAACTTGCAACCTCTTTTCTCTTTTGTTCTATGTTTTAAACCCACTTCCTCCCAAAGTGTTTTACCCTCGTCTTGTCAGAAATTACCCGCACGCAACTACTATGAATTATGAATTAATGTGGTCAAAAGGGGTGAAAACTATATAGGCCGAATAGCAAATGTAACCCCCACCGAATAGATGAACCCTTTTAAAAACATTGTTCAAAAAAAGCTCCGTAAATATAAACTTCTAAATTCCCGCGTTGGTCAAAAAAAGAAAAAAACAGCAAAAACGCGTTAAGTGTAAATATTTAAAAAATTTTAGTGATGAATTTTTCATCATGTTTTCTGTGTCAACAGGTCGACCTCCACCAAAAGTCAGGTGGTGGAAAGGGCAAACCCTTCTTGAATCTAAAGATGAGCCGGGTGAATTTCCAGCTTTGAGGAGAAACACTCTAGTAGTCACAGACTTAACAAGAGCTGATTTACATGCTGTTTTCACTTGCCAAGCATCAAACAACAACATTAGTCAACCTGTTTCTGCGTCAGTCTCTATAGATATGAACTGTGAGTATTTCTCAAGTTATTTAATTTTCTGAGAAAGTCTTTTTAGACAAGTGTGATGAAGAATTTTGAGAATTAAATAAATATTAACAATACTTTGGAAAGAGTTTTTTGTTCAATTAAAAGTGAGCAAAAAAGAATAATTGTTGAAAATAAACGATGAAAAATAGAAGCTTAAAATGAAAACTTTATTACTATAACCACTTCTTGTACATAATAACAGGTCATGAAATTTATGAAGGCTTTTTTATTAAATATAGTTCTCAGTAATTATTTTTTATTATTCTATAAAGATTTTTTTAAAAATAAAAGGTGGTCAGTTAATGACTCATATGTTAAATAAATTGAAAGAAATGTTTATTTAAGTAATGTGTGGAAAACAGATAAAAATAAAAACGAAAGTATGAATAAAAAATCAACATCGATTCAGTTGATTATGTAAATGAATAACTTATTTATATCTACTAGAGTTTTAAAATAAAACTAAAGTAGTCTGCCTTAAATAGCATTTTTATTAGGTATTAGCACATCGCGTCTAAGCTATTTGGAGTCACTACTTTTATCGTTAAGCTTTAATGTTGACATTATTTTCACTCTTATTCTCGCTATCCTCGTAATTTTTTTTTTACTTCCCTTACTTTTTAATGCAAAGAACAAAATACTCACGTGTCTTAAGTGTGAGTATAATTTTTGTGTTTTCTTTTGAGTATCCTTTTTTATTTTTATTCTGCTGGCAAATCTTGAGAGTCGCCAATTTTACTAGGTTAAAAAACAAGAACATTCTCTTGGATTCCACCGAGGATTAAATCTCATAAATTCCACTGTGCGACCTGTGGAATTATCGGTATTTCGTGTTAAACTCAAAAGCGCTGCATTTACACTAAAATTTCTAGGAAGTAATGCTTTTTTCATGTTTTATGTTATAACATAATAGTAAATTGAAAGTGACAATCATCCACGTTATATAATTTTTATCGTTTAATTATGAAAAGTTAAAATATTTGAAAAATTTAATTTTAATCTGATAGAAAATAATATTCGAATTATATGAAGTTAAATAAAAATCTTGAACAAGGAAATTATTTCAATGAAAATTTTGAATCAAATACTTTTACACTCCAAAGAATTTTACTCTCCTTAGAAGATAAATTCTTTTGACTATAATATTAGACGGTGCTGAAACATGTTCAAGTTTTTATTCTTTTGTAAATGAGCTTTGAGTTGGAATCAAAAAATCTGAAAAAAAATTTAAAACGTTTACTCAACTTTTATTGTGAATTATTTAAAAATAAAATAGATTCTATTCTAATGAAAGAACCAAATTACTAATGAAATATTAAACACTTAATTAATCAATATACAAAGGGTTAAAGAATATTCGGTAATGAAAAAAAGAGACAAATAGATAAAGCAAGATCAGTGAATTATAATATGTGATAATCAGTCGTCGACGTTGGCAGATTTTGATTGCAGAGGCCAACGATTTTGACTGTGAACTGACACAGATGAATAGCATTGTAAAGTGAAATAGTTGCAATCTGTGTAGAAAAATGACGAGAGAAAAAGAGAGAACGAAAACGAGCATTATAATGAAAGAAATCGCAGTTGAAAATGACGAAGAATAATTGGAGCCCTAGGGAAACAAGGGAGAAAATGAGAGAAAGGTAATGAAGAGTGAGAAGAGAAGATGCTGATGTATGACATGGAAGTGAGAAAGCAACTACTATGAGGCAATTGCTTTCTCCTTCTGCAACCAACCAAGCCCGCCCTATCCATTTGCCTATCTACCTAATCGAGCTTAACTAATTAGAGACCAGTCGACTGGTAATGGAGTCAGCCAGCAGAATTGGGTAACACTGCGCTTGATTTACAGAGAGGCAGAATGCAAGGAAATTGTAATGCCAAGCTGCTCTTATTCTCCAGCTTTGTGGCTTTTCCATACTTGTTCTTTTTCCTGTTCTATTTTCTTCATTCTTTTTATTTTCTTGCCTCCAAGTTTGTGTTAACCAATAATTCTACAGCTAAAATTTCAAGTGGAATTACCAAAATCTTGACATTAAAATTTATTAAATACTTCATACTCAATTTTTATCCACAAATATAATCGAAACTTTTGCCAATGCATGAGTAATAGTATTTAAAAGCATTTTATTCAGATGCAATATTCTTTCTCGTACAGAGCAAAAGCTAGAGAATTTCAATGTACTATTCGACAGACAATCGTTTTCTCCTATTTACTGGAGAACAAAAAAGTACATGAGAGAACCACGGTAGTAGCAAAGTAAACGTAAAAGAGGAGGGAAAAAATCGACAATGAAAAAAAGGGAAAATGTCGGGATTCAAGAAGTAGAAAGTATAGTAGGGATGCACGAATGAACGCACAAGGGGTTGAAGGTTTGGAAGCGTTTCGAAACTTGATTGCACAACGAAGATAGCTCTTCAAGTTGAAGCATAGACAGCGATAAAGGTAGAGACTTTCCCAGACAACCAAGAGGACTCAAGTGAGTACCTCGCATAACTTTTGCTCTCGTGACTCTTTCTACACTTTTTTTTTTTGCTTTATTTTGTTCAACTGCTTCCCTCAGCTTTGATGTCTTTATTTTTTTTTTAAATCCCCTCACAATCTTCATTCATTCTTACGTGTCATGCACCACCACGAGACTCATCTTTACACTTCGCTATTGTTTTTTTTGTCTGTTCTTCTTTTTGTTTATATATTCAGCTACACGCTGGTATTCTCCAGTGCCCTTTTTCACCCCTTTTATCCACGCTGGATAACATAAAACGACCGTTGGTTTCACAAAAAGCTCTTGGTCGTGTGGTCACAGGCACAGATATGACCGTCCCTAAAGCAAGAAAGAGAAAGAGAATCATTAGAAAAAAGGAGAAAAACTGATCCACATGGATTAAGCCCCAACGTATTTTCAATTCGCGATAACAATAAGTTTGACCCCGTCGACTCATTCATTACTTACTCTCTAGAGCCATGATATTTCTCTTGTTCTTTCTCTATCTACTCTTTTTCTCGTTTTCTTTTTAACTTCAAGTCTCACTCCCTTCACTATGGATTTCTAACAGAATCTTTTTTTTCTTCTATTTGTCTCTTTTCTGTACTCGCTGAATCCACTCTGGGATTCCTATTGAACCCACTGTATCCAGCGATAACTCGAGGAGTTTTATACGGCCTTGGCTTACTTTTATACACCTCTCGCTTTTAATTATATTTTATCTTTTCATCTATTCGTTTTTGAACCTACAACTGAAAGCACGCCATCATTCTTTATATGTATTGTGGTTATTTATATATATATATCTTTTTATCCTGCATTGAATTCTTATCATTTATTCGTTGAAGCTTAATAATCTAACCAGCTTATTTCCACAATTATTAGATTTATCATTGATCAGCTTAGTGATAGAAAAAGTGTAAAAAAAAATTATCAAAATCTGCTGGAAGTTGACAAGAAAGGATGAAGAAAAGATCTAAAGAAGCGGAAAATTTTTCATTGGCATCAAAAGTTCCAAGTATCAGAAGTTTGATCCAAGTTCGTCGACTGGTTGAATAGAAATCTTATCGAAGCTTGATCATCCAGTCCTCTTACCTTTTTCTTATTTTTTTTACTCTTCATCTACTTTTCTATATCCCTTTAGATATTACCCGCGGCACTTGCCAATTTTCATGTCAAATCGCCAGAAAATGACAACGTTCAAACTATTATTAGTCGTTCAAATAACAAATGTTCTCTTCTATCAAGGTCTTTAAATATTTATTATATTAAGATAAAAAAAAAATAAGCTCATTACCAATACCAAGTATAAATGAGATATTTATATGGCACTTTTGTAAAAAAGGATAATAGCGTATAAGATAATGTATAATGGTAAAATCCACCAATGTGTTGTATGATAGTATCAAACACGTTAAAGTATACATTATGTTGTCATATCATTCACAAGTACAATGTTTACAGATAGAAATCACAAAGAATCGTGATAAATCTTTCTATATTCATAATTTTTTATTTTTTTAGTGAAGTAATTTTTTTGTTCACTCCATAACATGCAATCTAACCGATGCTCACGACAGCAGTCCCATTCATGTGACGGAGGTCTTGATCAATAATAAGAACTAACTTAAATAGTATTATTTTTTTATATCGTTGTTGATGTTTATCAAGAAAATTCCTTTAAAATAAACTTACATCTAGAGCTGAGAGTTCATATTTAAATAATATTTTTCATTTATTTAAGTTTATACAATTTCGAGATTCTCTAAATGTTTGGGTAAAATGAACATTTGTTTCATTGTTGCCAATTATTTCACAGAAATTTCTGGAATACCTTAATTGGAGTAATCAACATACATTTTGATGAAATAATTTGAAATTACTTCAGAGCAAATATTTTGAAAATTGTTTTTTAAGGTTCAAAGTGCTTTGAAGTTTTTGCTTTAATTTTATTTTAAAATGTTTTTTGCTTTTAAGACTATTAAAGAGAACCAAGAACAAAAACTCATTCCATTGTAATTTTCTTGACCTGAATAAAGAGTAAAAACTTCATTAAGATGCCTATTTATGTTAACCAAAAAAATCAAAACCTTTTTGTTTCATGTTTCAGTGCGACCTTTAAGTGTGTCAATTCTTAGCAGCGAGCACGCGCCTCTTAGTGCCGACCGCCAGTATGACATCAATTGCATGACAGTCGGCTCGAGACCGCCAGCAAAGCTTTCATGGTATATGGAGGGTAAAATTCTTGAGAATTTCACGCAAACAGTGAGTTTACTTTCAACCTTTTTTTACCTCATCATCCAATTAATCAGATAAGATGAACTTATTACATAGTCCATCATTCATTTAAATACAAAATAATACCCAAAATGGATGTAAAAATTCTTTTTGCCTCACTCACCTTTTCGTTTACTTTTTTTTTAAGATACTAGACAGTAGATCGATTATTCGCCAACACATTTGTTGGATGATCCCGAGCAAATTAGGGTTAAATGGGTGTCGTGAGTTAGGCAGGTGTCGAAAGAGATACCTAAAATACGGGAGTGTGAAAAAAAAGCACGAGCAGCGACAAAAAAATTAGTAAACGAGGAGTAAAGAAAAAAAGAGGAATTTCACGAGAGTATATGGGTTTCTTCTTTGATCGTAGCGCGAAATCACTGGCATTAGAAGCGGTATCGGTATTTGCATCGTTGCCATTAGCGTCTACCTCGAACACGCCATGGTGCAATTACTGGATAACCGATGATTTCGTGATCTTCTTCTCCGCCTCTCATAGTCCAGTCCACGTTGATTCTTTCCTCTTCCATTTCCTCTGTCTCTGTTTACCTCATTGACCATCAAATGCCTCTATTCCTCTTCAATCCAACTACACCATCATCTCTTCTCACTTCCCCCAGTTCATACTCCCAATCTATATATTTATCTGTCTCTTATTTGAAAGCCTAAAGTAATTTTTATTCCTCGATCAATGCGTCTAATATGTAATTTAACAAGGTGAGATTATATTTGTTATCCTGCGTCATTTTATTAATCTTTCCAGAAGCAATTTGAATAGACTACGTATTGAATCAAATAAAATGATGATCCAAAATCACAAAAGATCTCACGAATATAATTCCGAGTTCGTCAGAGTAGTACTCAAATGCATCACACGTATTCTCTTCTATACTACTATCGACTGATGTCTGCGACCCGCATCACAAATAACTATTCGCAGTAGGCTTTACCAATATTCAACAATACGTCGTAATATTGTGGTATTGCTACACAGAATGGTAACGTAGAGAGACCACCTCGTTTTCTATCAATTTATAGCTACGATCGTTGATTCGGAACTTTCGGCATTTCAACAAATCATTATTTTCATAACGGTCCTTGATTAGAGATCCAATAACGCTCGAAACGTACCTACCAATAAATTTTTGATACACTAAATTAGTTTGAAATTCAAAGCTTGATATGTTTCGTTAAAATTAACGTTTGAAAGATAATACTTTTAGTTATTTTGCAAACTTCTAATAATTTCTCGTTTTTTTTTTGTATGGTAATAGTTTTTAGAAATTTAATCGGTTCGTCAGATATTATTTGACTCGTTAAAGTTATTTTAAATAATATTTAAGTACTAAAATCCAATGATTACTAATAAATCCAGTAATTTGTGTACATGATTGGAATAAAAATACAAGAATGTATTACTCGATAATTAAGTTATCCATGTGATGTTGACAGTAACAACACTGAGTAAAATTAAAGTAGTTTAATATACCATCATCTGTTAACCTGCCATTCAACATCTCATAATTAACCGTTTTTATAATCACAAAACAAAAAAATAATTAACCCATGAGACGGAGATAAAAATTTCTCAAATAATTGAGAGTTACTTTTTTTTTGTGTTAAGAACAAAAGATGGCAATAAAGATATTTTTAAAAATAGAAAGAAAGAAATTCGGATCCATCAAAACTTCTTTAATGAATAGCTGAAATTAAAAATTAATAATTAAAACCTTGATTTATTTGAAGTTTGAAAAATTAAATATATTAATATTGTAATATAGTTTGTTTCTTTATTGACAATTCATAAGATTAAGTGCCACTTCCAATCTTGACTTTTGAAAGTGTTTTATTTTAAGACGGCTGACATGTTTAATTAGAAATTCTTAATTGTGAATTTTTATTGAGTTGTAACGAATTAATTAGAACAATTTATGAATTAAGATATTTTTATCTCTAATGGAGCAGCTCAAAAATATTATAATAAATGTATAAATTAACTTATCACGGATTTCAGAACTTTATAATTTCCATTTAATGATTTTTTGAAACTTTCAGGTGTCTGATGACAAAAATATGACAACTTCAACTTTAACCTTTAAACCAACTCGACAAGATCATGGAAAAGTTATCACTTGTAGAGCTGAAAATCAAAATGTTGAGGGTGGTTTCGAAGAAGATACCTGGAAGCTCAATGTATTTTGTAAGTTTACTTTATATTAAAAAAAAAGTCATTCATAAAATTAAAAAAAAAGAAGAACTAAATGAAAATAATAGCATACAGTTGATGGAATATCAGAATAACTTTTTATGTTGAAATTTATATGAATATAAAAAGTGCTAAATTGATACGGGAACTATACAACTATTGAAAAGATCGAATGGTAGAGTATAGTGATGTTATCCATTGAAAGAGATAAAGCGGATAAAAGCGGGAATGTAATCGAAATAACGAGACGTCAACGGAGGGAAATGGAACGGACCGGAGATCTGGATTTATTTGGTCAGACTCCTGACGCCAGGAAACGCGGTACACGTGCGGAAGAGAAAAAAATCACAATTTGAGAGCCAACCTGTAATATTCGGACGCGCGTATGCCCTAGGCCGCATATATTGTTATACCATAAAAGTGACCTAAAAGTTTTTTGATTGAAATAATAAAAATTGTTTTGGTTCATACTTGGATATTTTATTTTATAATATCCACCACTATCAAGACTGTAATAAAATTTAAAACTCCTAAATTACAGATAAGCAGTCATATCCAAATTACTTTTAGATGATGAAATTTCGTTTTCTAATAAAAAAAAAATAATGAAAAATACGAGCTGTTATTTTTTAATAAATAATAACTCTCTGCCAGTGCAGTTGAAATAATAATAAAGGCTGAATCAATTTTTCAACAGGATTTATGATATTGCCTTCTGTTGTAATAAATATTACAAGACTTCAGTAATCGATAGTGGAAATAATTTTACATTACTTATTTATATATTTATTCAAATAAAATTTGGAAATTTATTCATTACCATGGTGGTAGAAAGAGATATTGTTTAATTTAATTTCACAATGATTTTATTTAAACTAATTTATGAAGTTTAAAATGGAATAGGTTGTACGATTAATTATTTAATAACATTTAGTACGTTATGTATGGTCACGGATGCGAAAAATACCCTTGTTTCATTTAATTTTAAAATAAACTTAACAGTTTTTACACTAGAATTTACCGAACAAATTTATGATTTGGAAACAACAATAGATATATTTTACCTAATGAATAAATTCCAATTAACTCTGTACAGTTCTACCTACTATTCGGCTTGAACTCGGCTCCAAAATGAATCCTGACGATATCGAAGAGGGTGACGATGTTTACTTTGAGTGTAAAGTTCGTGCCAATCCTGAAGCCTACAAAGTCATCTGGAAACACAATGTATTATTTATTATTTACTTTAACAATTGACTTTTTGAATATAAAAATTTGGCTTCTGAAATTAAAGCTTTTTTTTCCAGGAAGTTGAGATCCATAATAATGCTAAGAAAGGTGTCATAGTACAACAATATAGTCTGGCTCTACGAAAAGTGAATCGCTTTCAGGCTGGAAATTATACGTGTATTGCATCAAATGTCGAGGGTGATGGACACAGTAATACAGTGGAGCTTAAAATAATGTGTAAGTCTTAACAATGACTGTTTTTAAAACTTTACATAGCTCAATCGATACTATAATTATTCGACAAGTGTTTATGACATTCATTTTCTCATATTACTTTTAACGATGAATTGAAAATATTTCCTAGACTGGAAAATTGAATTATGTGTGTAAAGGATAACTCTTATTGGTATATTTTTATATCGAAAAAAAAAGTTAATTAATTGTTAAGTTAAATTGGATTTATTCTATAGATAAAAAAGTAGAATGCTTTAAAAATAATAAATTGATTGAACTGAATAATTGAAATTATATTTTAGTATTTAAATTTAGAATTAAAGAGTAGGTATTGATTAAATTTATTTAGTTTTTGACATCTTGTTAGATAACAATATTCCACTGAAGATCAATTATAAAACCAAAAAAATAAAAGTTTTAAAATTAATCTTTAGAAGCATAGTGATTTAAAAGTAACTTATCAATTAATATTTAAATACTTTTATTATTGTTTTTTTCTTTACATAAAATTTTTCAATTTAAAAGTTTAAATGAGTAGAATCCAATTTTTCTGAAACTAATTCTTAAAAAAAAAAAGTAGATTCTATCAATCGATCACATTTCACTCAAAAAAAAATTTGTCTCTTTTAAATCCTATCAATTTCCATCAGAAAATTTTGCTTCAATCAAATAGTCTTTTATTAGAATGAAAAAGCAGTCTAAAAATCAAAAGTTATTTAGTTAATAAAACATTTAGCCAACAAATTTTCTGATACAATGATTGAAAAATAAATATTTCATCTTTTAATTTTGATAAAATCTCTCTTTTGGTGAGCAACAAATAAAGGAAAATGACATGTCAAATTCGAAAACCTAAAATAAGAGTAAAGTGAAGCAATAGTTTTAGTTAAAAAAAAAAAAAAAACAAAAAAAAATGGTCACAGTAACTGCTACAACTAAACTGCACAGACAAATTATTCCATACCGACAAACTTTTCCTGGCCGGTGAAACTATTCGAACGCGGAAATAATGCTCATCGATCTTGTGGGAAATAACGGAAACACACGAACATCGGCTGAGTTGGCTGCTCGCCACTTCCACTATTTTCTGATCCATTCCTATTCGATGTCATCCCTTGTCACGAGAAAACTTGACTGCAGGTTTCATGAATGCTCGCACACTATGTTTCCTCCTCATATCATGTCAAATCTGGTCTGCTACTGAATGATGTTATCAGATTGTGTGAGCCAGGGTCCACTGTCTAGATCGCCATGTAGTTGGTCGAATAAGCTAGCTAGAGGTGACGAAAATTAGTCCTTTGTTGAAGCTGATGAGCGTGCATAGAGCTAGCATTTTACAAGAGTATTAATTCGATAGGTTAAATACGTTGTCATAGTCATCACACGATACGGCCGTTCGTGCTTGTTCTGATCAACCCTCATCGCGTCCTATCTCTCATCCCTCTCTTATAACTGACCCACAGTGTACTCTCATCAATATTGCCGCACTGCTACTTCGTCCTTTACGCTCCTAGTATTCGAACGTGAGGAATGTAAATTAGTTTGGCTCCATGTGTACATAGCTGAATTAGCTCTCGTTTCGATATACCAGGTACAGGTATCATGAATATCTTTGGCATTAGCCGCTAGTGCATTACATATGTACTTTTGATGTAGATCAAAAGGAAAAGTTAATCTGTCTGCAAATTTATTTCACTAGCAATCATTTATTATTCTTAAAACGCATATATGCTCGGTACTCTGTTAATAGGCCGCGGAAAAATCTTCTATCAACACTTTCTTTATCGAAATACATTTATTTTCTACCATATTCGTTATATTAATAACTAAATTCTTTTTTATTATCTCTGAAAAAGCTTGAAATCATATAATATTTATTGATAGAATCACTTGATCGCTGGAGAAATTTATTATTTATCATCTCGGATGAAATCTTCTATTTGAAATTAAAGAACTTTGAAGGAAATTATTTTCCATTTTCAGCAAATCTTTCATGAATAAAACTTGAAAATTCAAATGTTGGCTAATTTTTATATTCCATTTTTTTATCTATAACATATTTATTTTACCAGTCTTATTTCAATCATTGTCACTTTTTGGAGATGGAAATATTTGAGGAAAAGAACGCTTGAAAGATAGAAAAATGTATAAAAGTGATGTACATTGATTTGTAAATTTTTGACACATGGATAAGCTTTTTTGTACCTCTTTCGACTAAAGCTCAAGCAAAATATTTTATTTTTACAGATAAACCAATCTGCATCCCAGATCAGAAACGCATTTATGGAGTAGCTCGGCTCGAAGAGGCAAAAGTAGTCTGCAGAGTTGAAGCTTATCCACCACCTAACAACTTTCGTTGGACGTTCAACAACACCGAGGAAATGGTTGATGTGGCTCAGGAACGTTACAGGAATGGAACCCGTCATACACAGAGTGTTCTCACATATAGACCTGTCACTGAAATGGACTATGGAACAGTGTTGTGTTGGGCGAGCAATACAGCAGGACAGCAGATGAATGCTTGCATATTTCACATCATACCAGCAGGTATATGCTTGTAAAAATCTCAAATTTCTCAATGACATGAAAGCCAAGGCCAGATTTTTTTCATTCTTTCGTGATATTAAAATTCAAAACATTCCAATTTCATGTAGAATTTCTTTTTTGCTTATTAAATTATATTACTTAAAAATATAAATCATATCAGGTGTATCTTTTAATTTTATTTTAATCTTGATAATGAACAGATTTAGCTCAAAAATAATATTCAAATTATTCAAACTAAGTTCAAGGTTAATTTAACATTTTATCAAATGAGTGTTTGTGATAAATTATAAATGAAAAGTTCATGCTACTAATGTGTATCAACCTATTATACTTTTTCGTTGGGTTTTAATTAAAATTGCATTTATTTCATGTTGAAGTAAATTAATATTCATATCACGACATACCACAAATGTTATTTTTCAACATCTATTACTTAAAAATGTATTAAAATAAAAAATTATCAACATTCTCTATATTATTTCTCTCTTATTATTATTCTATCATAAACGTACTTCATTAAATAAAATAATAGAAACAATAATATGACTTTAATAAAACAATTATAAATTTTTTCAGGCAAACCAGAAGCTCCCTACAACTGTACTCTAACAAACCAAACAACAGATTCACTATCCGTTGAATGCACTGCTGGTTTTGATGGTGGTCAACCTCAAAACTTCCTTCTAGAAGTCTATGATCAACATACAGGGATTCTTGAAGCTAATATAACATCTCGTGAGAATGCATCATTCACGGTCCAAGATCTTGAGCCAGATAAGGTACTTACTATGAAACTTTATGCATTCAACTCGAAGGGAAGAAGCGAACCTACAAAACTAGAAGGATTTACACTTAAGATTGCTGAGAAGCAAACTGGTAAGCCTCACTATGCTATTTTATCATTTTATTTGTAATTTTATAACTCGGTTTATGTCAGAGTATTTTCTATTGATGATTGAATTATATTTAATTGATTGAAGTACTAATGGTTTTGGCATTAAAAGCTGCGTTATTCTATCAATATCAAAGTAACATATTTAAAAAGAGGCTTTAAAATAGATTGAGAGATTGTCATGACATTTCTATCGATTGTTTAATATTTTTGAATCAGTCATATGAATTTAAGGTATATCATAGCTGTCAATATATTTGCAGACGATGAATATTAGACTATAAATTAATTATTTTATCAATCCACTCGAATATTTAATGAGCTTACTCCTTAACAGGATAAACCTTATTCGATAATTTATTGAATAATTAGTTTATTTGAATTTTTAAATTAAAAGAAAAAATAAAGTATCAGCAAATTTTCGTTCAAGCAGTTGTAGAATTTGCAATTCTAATATTTCCCATTCTCAGTCTATTTCTTCTATTCGAACCACATTATTCTTAATCATATTTTTAATCTTGTCGTCTTCTGACAGCTTTTCCAACTGCATAATTATTTTATCTAGATATTATTCTATTTCCTGTAATAACTATTGAATTGAATTATAATTTAATTAAACATTTCCATCAATTTGGTATGTATATATATATATATATATATTTAATCTAACTAAAAATTCCTGACTACTATGCAATCTTTTATCTCAATCTGAATAATTCTGAAATATCACCCTCGATTTTATTCTTGATATTTCAAGATGTTCAGTTTCTATTTGATACATTCAAGTAAAGTATTATACTTTGAATATTCTAGCGAATTTGTAGTTTAATATCTTCAACAATGACAGTTAAAACAAATAAATAAGAGTCCAAATCGATTGTCAAAAGGAGCGAGCAGAAAAATACGAAAGTAATATAAAACATTAAACTAAATATAAAAGTAATATCTTTCACTTTTCCACTTTATAACTTTTTTCATATTCTGTTTACATCTTTAGTCATCTCGCAAAACTTTTACTTGGTTATTATTATTATTACTCCTATTGCAATTATTATGATGATTATTTTCTGGTATGATGATCATTATTATTTCTTTTTATGCTTTGAAATAATAACTCGAGAAACTAAACTAAAGGAGCATTTTTAAAATAATTCCATGGGGTATTCTCAAGCATAAAATCATAAAAAAAAGAAAAAATTCAGCTAGAGACAACTTTGAGTAAAGGACTTTATTCTTTATGATGCCATCTTTTGAAAGTTCTGCTCCGATTAAAAATTAATCTGCACTTTAGCTCATAACGACAAGACTTTTAAAGCGTCCTAAGGCTCTACTGAAGAGCGAAGGAAAGCACAGGAAGATATGCTAAAAGCGTTCGTGCATCTTACAGCTGTAGCTAGTCCTAAGAAAAGCTTTTTGTCTCCCAATGGGATGATAGGCTTGTTAATAATAATTACTTAGATCTCTGATATAAATAAACCGAGTAATTTTGCATATCTTAATCTTAAGATATCTAGTTAGAGTGGTACTTGCACGAGAGCAGTGCGCATTTTGTTCACAGGTACACCCGTGCCATTCGAAATCACCCCATTACTTGGAGTACTTATTGGACTAGTTGCTGCATTGCTGCTCATCACAGTTGTCATTCTTGGAGCACTTAAAGTCAGAAGTGATCGACGAACTCACAGACCCGGGGATCTACCGTTGAAAAAAACTACTGCTCCAAGCTCTGAAGATCTTTATGATACTGATGATAGAAACCCTGACGTCGTGCCAACTAATAAAGGTAAGATATTGACTCTGATAAGAGTAATAGTGTCTGCATTGACTTCATATACATTAGAAAATAAAAAAGTCATATAGACATTTTTATCGTTGAATTTTCTTCTGTACATAATTTTTTTTATTACGTATCTTAATGCCAACAAGTTTTATTACTGAAAAAATTTATTTCTCTCGACAAACTTTATTTTCTTCACAATTTTACTAATATCTATAAAAACTTGGCATAATGTACAGCTATAGAACCTAAATATCCATTTATTTTGCAAACAAAAAATACAAATCATATAAAAATGCCTTATTGCAATGGATAAATTCATAAATGAGATGAACACTTTTTGTGAATATTTTATTTTGTAATAATATTATTGTTTATTTGTATCGAAAGATTCAGATTACCAGTTAACGGGTTCAACTGCGGGTACACCATTAGCTGCTCAACCGACTCCAGATGAAGTTTCAACCACGTCACTACCAGCCCAGCAGACGAATCATTTGCAAGGACTTAATACTTACTCACACAACGATTATTCGAATTACCCAACTTTGCCGGTAATTACTAGTTAAATTAAGTTTATAATAAATATTGTCCTAGATCAATTTACTTTTTGTTTAAACATTCCATCTATACTGAATTAATCTCACATCAATTGATTAATTACATTCTTCAATTAACACTTTGTTCATTAAAAATATCCAAGCTATTTGATGTTAAATTGCTTCTCTTTGTTCACGAATAATTGAACGAATTTTCTATTATTCAGTCACATATCTAATTAGTTATTGGTTAAGATCATCACAATGTTGATATCATTAATCAATTAGTCCATGTTTCTCTGTTAATTCACTAATGTATCTATTATTATGGTCAGAGTTATTTAAATTTACTCATAATTTCATATATATATTATCTTTCAAAACTACATTTGATAATTTCTCTATAATATAATTTATGTTGGAAATTGATCATGAAAGCTTTTATGGTATTAATGAAAAGCAGTACCCTAAACGCTTGAATGAATCTCTTCTAATGCAAGTGGTTCTATTTAGCTTACAGGAGAAGTGACTTATGCAGAATTGTGCCTGGCACGTCCAACGACCCTTTCGACCACTGCGGATTCGAAGCTTTCAAGTCTTAACACTGGCCTTAATAACATTGGAGGGTTTGGTGGTGTACTGGTAGGAGGGAAACCTTACATCAAAGAAGCAACTGTTTATGCTTGTATAGATCATAATGCTAGACCACCAAAAATAGACCAGGTTTGTCAACCTATGAAAGGAAGTGCTGCAACTTTGTTTCAAGATACCACAAGTATCATCACAGCCAAACAGCAAAATCATCCACGAGAAGTTGTTACAGTACGTACGCCGCTCATCTCGTCTCAAGAGAGTTGCGTATAGGGACGGGAATCCGACGCGCTTGACATTAACGAGTATTACGTGTAATTGCAGCGACGTCGGCGCATTCAATTATAGACTCCATCTAATTATAATGAATTTTAAATTTGTTGGTTGACGATGCAATATTTATAAAGACTAGTTGGCGAATACAAATCGATTGGTGAAGTCTGCACGTTGCATTGACTTGACTTTTAAAGAAATTTTTTAACTCCTGACCAACTTTCTCAATTTCTGTCTCATGTAACGTCATATTTATTCATCAAAATTTGATGAAAAAACTTTTTATATGATTTCCATACATAAATGAATTATTTTTAAAAGGAATCAAATTGTTTGAGCTAAAATATTGAATAGTAATTAACTAGATATAATGAGTTTCATTGTTTAATATGAAATGACGTTGAGAAAAAAACTGATTATAATGAAAAATATTGTTCAAAATTATAGATGTTTATATGATTGTAAGAACATTTAATATTTTATCCAATATTCTATAAATCGCAATAAATATTTAATAATTAAAAAGAAAATGATATTTTTTGTTAAAATTAAATTTTTTCTCGAAGCGTAAACTATAATTTTCCATTATAAAATATATTAAATTTAATTGAATGAATAAATTGGAAGTGCAAATTGAAATATTAAGCTGAAATTTTTTATAAATAAAATAAAAATTTCACAATAAAGACTGCTTCCAATTGGATTATTGCTCCTAAAAATTGATCAGATTATAGCTCAATAAAAACTGAAGTACGTCTGTCACATCTATTTTATGTAGCATCGATATCATTAAACTAGAAAATGCCAATGCCATTATTTTTTATTCACTGGCATTTTTTTTGGTAGTTGTAAATACATATTGTATTGTAAACGAATGAATTGAAATAAAATTGTACTACTTGTCATAGCATGTAAAATACTACTGACAACTTATAATTAATTTTTAACGTTAAGTTATTAATGATATTTATAAATTTGATTACTCACTTATTGTACTAATAAGATCTTTATAAAGGAATTTATAATTTATTAACTGCCATAGTATTTGTAGGATAATCTTAAGCAGCTCAAATGATTTTTCCTTTTTTTAAAATAAATTATCCTTTCACTAATTCTATTGTGAAAGAAAAATACGAGAGAAAAATAGATTTTGTTGATACAAGAATAATGAGACTGCTCATGGGAATGTGTGTAGATAGACTAAGTTTTCAAATTCGTATGTTATTGATGTACATGACAAAGAAAAAAAAAAGAAATTAATAGTATAATTTTATGTAAATATAAATTAAAGAGCGGTATGAAAAGTATATTGCGCTCATTAAATACCGCGGCCGGCTCGCGAGAGTTTGTACATTTGTAAATATATAAATATGAACAGTGAAAAAAAAAAATATGAATCGTCATTTAGACGGTGAATTTATTCTCGTTTAACGAGTGGAAATTAAAACTTGCAACAAATAAAGTAAAAAAATAATAATAAATATAAATAAAAAATGTAGAGCTCGTGTTAACTTTAACTTGCGAATAAAATTTATAAAGTGTCAAGTGGTCTCCAAAGTTAAGGAAGTAATTAAGGAATTTGAAAGCAAGATATAAGTGATTATAAACATTACTTCTTTGACTGTAAAATAGTTTTATGTACAGCAATGATATTTTTTCAAAGTATATATAATTGAATAAGGTATGAATAATTGATATAGAATAATAAAACTCTTTCGTTAATAAAACAGAGAATATAAATAATATGTATAGTCTAAATACATAAGTGTAAATGTTATATAAAAAAAAATGAAATTATGTATGTTATTCATGAAAATTCTTCTTCAGTGTGCCTGAATAATTGATGTGTGTATCGTGTATTTGTAATAAAAAATCCAAAGCTATGGGTTCAAAATAAACATTCCAAAGACTTTGGTTTTAACCAAAAAATTAAAAACAAAGGAGCTGTTTTGTTTTTTTATTGATAAAAACTTTTATTTTTTATTCTCTCATTGCTCCTAACGAAAATAAAGTTCACATAAAGTACTACAATAGACTTGTGCATGGTCACGCGTACATTTCCTCCCCCAAAGTACCCTTCAATTCTGAAAGGTATTTGAAGCACGCGCATTTGTTAACTACCACAACTCTACAGCTTGAGGTACGCGACTCGACGCCTCTATCCCTTGATTTTGGTGCTCATCGAATATTGCAAGCGCGTATCGACTACGCGTCAATCGAGCCACTACTCCAACTTGCTGTACACGTTGACAAAATTTAGATTGACAACTTTTCCAACTCATATAAATTATATATACTGCCGTGGTGTAATTTTGTATTAACTTTTCATACGACAGGCAAATAATGGCCTGTAGAAAGAGGAATTGATTTCGTTGAAAATCTTAACCAGGAGAGAAGTAGATTTGGTTTGTTTTTATTGCTGACAGAGATCACGACGTGACCACGAGGCGAGGGTTGAAGAAAAATCGAGAGGGTACGTCTTACCCTTGTCATACTAGTCCGCATTCTAAAGACATAGGAAAAAAGGAAATGGAAAAAAAAACAACGTAAAAGAGTATCGCCAACTTTATTTATTACAGAATAATGTACTTTCTTTACCACTGCATATTGAGTTATTGGCTCAAGACTGATTCCCTCGAAAAACTTTCTTTACGAAAAAAACTTTAACTACTCTGTGCTCTTTTTCCCATCAATTACGAGACTATAGAAGTGTAACAAAAAAGTGTATGGTCATTGTTGGCGAATAAAAATGCTAATTAAATTACAGCAAATGTAGTGGACAAAAATTTTGAAAAATAGAATAAATAATATTTTTGAAATTCTATTAAATGGAAATGATAAAAAACAATATTTCATGTTATTAAGAGTGATAATATTTTCATTTATATCATCTAGAAAAATGTGGATAAATTCATTTCATTTTTATTTACCATTTCTCTTGATATAAATCAACATTAATGTTCAAATAATTAAAAACCAAAACAACAATAACAATGTTGAATTACTTGACTTGTTTTCCAGGAGCAAAAAGATAATATAGATAAATGATCATACACTTGTGCCATTTCAAACAATTAAAATTTTTCAAATGAAAAAATTCGTGAAACATCTGCTGCTCAAGAGTTTTTCAGTTGAGTCTATTTTTTTTAACTTGTATGTACAAGACCGGACATTGTCTTATTCTTATGGATAAAAATAAGTGCACTGTAAAGAAACACAAACGGAAAAATACGCGTAAACAAACTAAAAATTTATAACTGCCTATTAAAAATGACTTCCTTGTAAGTTTACACACCTGCGACTGAGTTCGTATACAATTGTTCACTACTTTTCCTAACTCAGAAAATCTCTTTTCCCACTTATTTGTACGAACTGAGACTGAACTCCCCTCTTGCTGCAATTCCGCCACTATCAGAACATTGAACTATACTGAAAACATAAAACTCATATTAATCAATACGGTGATTAACTGCATGAGTGGGAGTAGTAATAATACATTAAACACTTTTAGAGCTCTTGAGTGTGAATATGTAAAATTAATAATAATTTTCAATGACCATGATTACATGTATTTATATTTAAATAATCTTTGTATATATTTAGTGTATATAGATTCAGAAGAAACATGTATATGCAAATAATTTAAGTGAGTTTATGACGTAATCTAAGTAAACGTGTTGATATGAAAATAAAAAATAAAATGATGAAGGATATTTTTTTATTTCCGTCCCTCTAATGAATTAAATCAATTGCTGACAATTCATTACAAAATTACAGAATGACATAAATAAAGTTAAAAATTATTAAATCAAATTTTAAGTTTTTTTTTTCATTACATATAAGTCTGGTAGATATTTATAAACCAAAACCATAAAAAAATATCATCCTGATTTTCTTTAATGTCAATTCGAGGCTACATCTCGAATATTTCTTTAATAAAAAAAAATACAAAATCTATTAGCTGATATTTCTGGTTGGTTGATTTATGCCTCATGTCAAACTTGCCAAGTGATATAACATACGGAAATCGATCGCTTTTGTCGTTGTCTCCAGTTCAATTTTCTTCTCGAGTTCTCAAGGGACTAAAGGTGGTAGAAGTAGCAACCACTCAGCCCTGGCTATCATTATCCAGACTGCGTAGTAGTGTCAAGACTGTAGATCGTATACTCCAGGTTTCAAACCACAACGTTTAATTGTACCTTGTACTGTTTAAACACACTTACACTTCAAACGTACCTCAGTAAATATATGTGCATAGAATTTAAGTGCATCAACGTATTCTGGAGACATTGGAACACATATAGTCATATTTACAACCCAAGTATATGTACATCTAAACTTGTTGTTTTACAGCCCACAGTAAGCAAGAACGAGAATTACCAGAGCAATGAGTAGTAGTGCTAGCGTACGTAGAGGTTGACGTGATGCGTTGGGTAGTGCAACTGTCGACAACTTAAAATCATCATTGAAGCGCCTGCGCTGATTGGACTAACCGAAGGGTTGAAACGTGGTTCGTAGACAAAACGAGAGAAAACCGGAGAACTAAAAGACCAAGTAACTAAATTGGAATTGAGGTTTCGAGAACGAACACAGCCAATTCCTGACACTGCAATCAAGTTCCTTATTTCCAATTGTGGATAATTAACATCAATTTACTTCCCAGCCTATATTAAATGAGGTATTTCTGTATCAAATGTATTAAAGAGTCGTATTGAATTTAAATGAACGATTCAGAGTGTAATATATTATTGAAACATGTTCAGAATGATTGAAGAATATTTTTTAAATTCAAGTTAAATAAAAATAATAATTATTATGGTAGTTGGAAAAAATTACCGTAATTTTACAACCAGTTCCTGACAATGCAATCAAGCTTTTCATTTCCGATAGTGAATGATTAACATTTAATTTATATTCAAACTTTTTTTTCCTAGACTTGTGAATCTTCTTTTTATATTGATTTTAAGTGAAACAAAGCATGAATGATATGCTAATTTTTTTAAATAAAGTATTTTTAATATGCAACAATCAAGAGTAGATAAAAAAAAATTCATGCAAAGAATCATTTAATGTTAGAAATATTTTTTTTATCATTTCTTTTTTTTAAAAAGGAAGAATTTCTACTTAATTTTTGGCTTTATTTCGATACTATCTTTTTCAGAACGATGATTATCTGGTTTTTTTCAACTCTTATAGTAGCAAAGTTTGTTCAGTAGATCTCCAAACCAATCCCAAGAGAGTTTCCTATTTTTTTAACTTCTAGATCACATCTGAGTAAAAACAGTCAAGATATCGTCCTAATTCTGAACTCAACTTTGGCACAAACTTCTACT